GAACAATTGTTTCGTGCATTTACAAAAAAGTTTCAAAAATAATTTTCAAACCAATTTTTTTTTCTTTTTCATTCGTCACTATTTTGTAATTTTTATGTTATATAATCACATAAACGCGTTATATATTACTAAATATTAAAGTTTATTCTTACAGTTATTCAAATCCAATATTTAAATATACTTTTTTGATTGCCATGACAATTATTGTTCATTTATTTTTCGTCTAAATTGTTTTTTTTTTTTTTCATATTGTAATGGGCTGCAGTTGATCAAAAAAATCAGACTTAACAACGTCGAACAGTCGCTCCAATTGTGAAATCTTGCTCATATACCCAGATAATATTTCGACAAAGTTGAAATTTTTGAAGAAGAAAAAAAAACACGGCCCCCTCGCATTATCACCGCGTACGTGTTTTGTACGCTCACGCACACATAAATATTACATTCATCTGCGATACGCGCAATTATCTCTTTCCACGCGGATAAGATATATACGGGAGGAAGATTTTCGTTCGATGAAAATATCGTTTTTCTGGGCTCAAAAACCGTGTATTATATACTTTTATCGTCGAAGCGTCAACTCCTCGGTCAACTCCAGCGAAACGAAACAAATTTCGAAATTTATTAGCATTTGGTTACATTTATTCATAAAGAAAAGGCAAGGAATCACGCTTTTCACGCCGTTATTATTCACCGGCGCTTTACGTCGTACTTGCGAGCACAAGAATGTAAAAGCTCCCTCGATCAAACGATCCGATATCGTCTAGGCCAACCTACTCCATTACCCCCTCCAACCATGTACATGGTACGTAGCAATAAAATAAAATATTTATCCCCGTCGACGGAGCACTTGTTCCACACAGCAGCACGTGCACGGTATAGACTATATACTTATACCCTGTAGATACTCGTTGGAAAAAAAAAAACACCCGTCTCCACACCTCATCAATTGCTTCTTCTTCTTCTTCTTCTTCATAACACGACCATATATAGGTACTGTAGTGCACATAGCAAAGCGCTCCGTATGATATATACATTGCGTTCATTCATGAATTTTCCTTTTCGCCCCGTGTCTCTCCTTCTTGCACTATATGTGCATCTTCTCTTTCGCTCTTTTACGCGCGCGTACATGTATACGACAGGCTCGGTCGTCATTGAGACGTACCCAAAGTACGAAGGGGGTTGAAGGAAAAAAAAAAAACACCATCTAGCTGCCTCGCTCGCCCTCTCTTTTTTTTTTTTTTCCTTTTACCGAATTCCTCGCCTTTCTTCGCTCTCTTTTTTGCCTCCCACTCGGTTTCCGCGTTCTCGCTCATTTTTATATATGCTATACCGTGTGTCACGGCTTCAACTACGAGTAGAAAAAGAAGGGGTGGTACACACGCTTGTTTCAGATGCAATTTCTCCTCCTCTCGCTTCCGATTTCGGGTGATCGCTCATCACAACCAAAGTCGCAAGAGGCAGCCTCGCGCGAAAAAGAGCCCATCTTTGTCAGTCTCTGTCGCCGCGGGTATCGACCCATACCCTCCCAGGGTCCACACTTCCCATTATATATATGTATCAGTGAAGAAGCTTATACTTTCGAGGGCAACACGTCGTCAAGACGACTTCGACTTCCAACATCTTTACAATAAAATGTACATGAACCGAGACACCTTGTATACA